TTATGGGGATGTTTTGGAATAATAATTTCGTTTCCTTAGACTGCAAAAGCTTTTGTAGCTCCGTATCGAGCTTTTGATGCTTTGCCATTTCTTGATAGTCTATATCAGGGTCGTAAATATCTGCACCGACGGGTGATATTCGTTGCTGTACTGCAATTGATAATAATCATAAAATTTGAAGTCAGTGAACGTTGTCGTCTGCGTTATGACAGATGCATTGAGTCATCGTTAAATATGTATTAGTAGAAGAATGACCAGAGGAACAGAATAGTGACTGAGTAGACAAGGTACGTAGAGTCGTATTCCTTTTTGGTCATGAAGCCTAGAGTGGTTTGTGTGATTTGAGGGAGATGCGCTCGATCTCGTTCGTTACAAAACCGTACCAAGGCATGACAAAAATACCAATACATATGATTAGTGATGGCGACGTATGAGACTGACTTGGATGTGACGAACAAGAGTGTATCTTTGAGAGACTAGCTCTAAACTCTATGTTCTGATATGCAGTGCGATGGGAATAGAATAGTAGTTGCAGTACTCGAATAGCGTTTTTGAGTGATAGTGATGCAGCATGTGGTTATGCACGTGGAAGAATAGATAAAATGAACGCAATGGTTACTAGTCAGCTAGTTAGATGCATACACAGACATAATAGGAGGCGATTTCGAAATGAAAAATGTATGTTGTGATAACATAAATTGCGGACCTCGACTAAGTGAATGAATGCAATATTAGATCAAAATGACATGGAAAAATTGGAACGAACTCACTTAAAGCAGGAAAATCTCACGTTTTTGAATAGTAAAAATATTCCAATGAGTTCCCACAAAGTGGAGTGGAATTTTCATAAAATGATAATTTGTTCGGTGAGTAATATGACTGCGAAAATGTCATGATTTAATGACAGCACGAACAAGATTAATAATTCCACATTCGGTCATGATATTGATAATAATGTAATAATAAGTATACAATGATAATTTGAATCGTAATGGAACAATCCGACAAATGTATCAATGAAGATAATTGACATGAGGACAAAGTATGGATAAAATAATACGACTTGAGCATGGCCATGTCATGTTGCACAGGCTTTGCTGAGTGCGTTGGATTAGAGATTGAGCAGGACCCGTTGAGTGCGTTCGTCGAATGTATCAAGTGCAGAAATCTCTTCATCGACGTAGCTTGCTGCGTTGCGTTCGTCGTCGGCGGGCTTACCACTTTTGTGGCCCGTTGATCTGACTCCATTTACATTGTACGAATGTTTGTTATCACCTATTCTCGTTTATCATCGTCGACTTAGATCGCGTTAGTCCATAACGGAATTAAATAAGTCGATTAACGAGAATGGCATTTGAATACATATATTTTGTATATGAAGTGAATGAAACAGAGCCAAGCAAAATGACGCACAGGGAGGATGGCTGGGAAGCCAACTCCCTTTTAATTAAGCGTTACTCAGTATTTATAGTAATAAGCTACAGACATGTGATGAATCATGGGACATGAAGTGTACACTCATATACGCTCATATAAAAAAAACAGTCAAGACTGACAAGCGAATAATTGACAAGGTCAATATATGGCTCAAGTAAAACAGAGATGGCACCCACGGAAATAGATTTAGATGAAAGGCTTAACGAATTATCAAGTGCCATGATACGAAAAAGCAATAGTAATAATAAGCTGAGGATTGTAATATATAATAATTCCAAAGGAACAATGTTATGGATGGATTTATTATGACTGTTAATGAATTGTTATTAATTATAATAATAATTCCAATATGAAGTTCTTTATGATACGCTTGAGGAGAATGCAGCAGACTTTGTAGGAAAATGGTGCGCGTTCTAAAGGCGGGTCACCAATAGTTAGCAATGTATATACCATGGAAACACCCTTCCAGTCAGTCTATGCAAATCCCCCATACACACTGGACAGCCTGCCCATCAAAGAACTCGACGTTTTTGGTTTGCTGAATAAGCTTGACATAGGCGAATCCACAGGGCCCGATGAATTGTATCCTAAACTACTAAATGAATTATCTAACTTCGTTATCAACACTTTAGGTATACGCTTTAATCTATTTGTAATCCAGGGTCGTTTACCAAAAGACTGGAAGAACACCATAGTAAGTCCTGTCCTCAAAAGAGGTACGAAACATAAGCCTGAGAACTACCAACCCGTCAGCCTGACTAGTGCGGTTGTTAAAATCTTAGAAAAGATTATTCGAAAGGAACTGTTTAAGTATCTCGATGAAAACCGGATACTTTAAGAAAAGCAGCATGGTTTCAAAATAGGTTATTCCTGTCTCGCTAACTTATTAGTGGCTCGTGAAAGCTGGTGCGCTCTTAAAGACCAAAAGTTACCTGTAGACGTAGCTTACATTGACTTCGGCAAATTTCTTGACAGTTCCGCACAACTGGCTTTCATATAAGCTAAGAAATGTCGGGATTGGAAGCAATCTATTGATGTTGATTAAAGACTTCCTAGTTGGGGTGCAACAAAGAGTGCGGGTGAACTCAAAGTTATCTAGCTTGGAAGCTGTGCTTAGTGGAGTGCCTCAGGGTACAGTTTTGGGGCCCATGTATTTCCTCTTGTATGTAAATGATATCCCCAGTCTTCTGTCATCATCGGTCTTGTTATATTCAAATGGTTCAAATGGTTGTGGACGGAATGAAGAAGCTTTCGCTTAACAGGCTTCCGTGTCTAGTAGCAGTTCATCACCAATACCTCCAGGCAGGAACCTAGGTATGTTGACGATAAAAGAGGAAAAAGAAATTGGTAAGTCATATTATGATACTATCCTTAGTCCTCAAGGATAGATCAAGCTGTCTCTTAAAGAACTCCTGCGAAGTCGCTTGGACTAGCTCGGCCGGTAGCGAATTCCAGCATTTGACAACTCTTAAGGAGTGGAATTTGTGTCTACAGTCCGTTCTGCTATGTTGTATCTCCTATTTCTGGGTGTTACCCCTTAGGTTTGTATTGAGACAAAGCTTAATTGGGTGTTTAAGGGGATGTCCAGAAGTGGAGGCGCTCTTCATAAGGTTTAAATTTGAGTCCCGAACTGATTTCGTGGCTCGTCGTTGGATACCCTCCAGAGTGTTCTTATCCTTTTGGAATGGGGGAGGAAATACTGTTTCCGCACTCTAAAAAGGATGAATGAAACTGCTGAAGATTATGTGGACAGTTCTCCATTCAGACTGGCCAGCAATGCACCTCAATGTTACCAGTGCAGGGTTTGCTCGAAAGGCATTTTTGTCACAGTTAGCGTACGACTTCAAGTCATAGGGCCTCAGGACTCCTAGATGTTTTTCGAATCGAGATACTAATTGAGAGGAGTTTTGTAAGTTGTAACTGTAGTCTGCAGCATGTCTCAGATGAACTACTTTACACTTTAAAGTGTTAAAGAGAAGTCCGTTATCGTCTGTCCAACCTTGAAGTCGATTCAGATCCTTATGAAGTGCCTGTATATCATCTTGGTTGCATATCTCTCTCCAAAGTTTCACGTCATCAGCGGAAAGTAATAAGTCTGGCGACACCTATTGTGGAGGATCATTTATATAAATTAAGTAGAGAAGAGGTCCTAGTACTGAGCACTGGAGGACCACACTAGGACATTCCACAGCCTGGGATAAAGTGAAGTTAACCCTGACCCTCAAATGTCTACTTTTTAGATATGAAGTGAACCAGTCAATTAGAGTTAATTTGATACCCAATCGTTTGAGCTTATTGATAAGACATATATGGTTGACCCTATCAAAAGCTTTTGAGAAATCAAGGTAAATGATATCAACCTTTTACTTGCGATCAAGGATACTTGTCCATTCGTCCACCGCAGTCAGCACGTTGGTTATACAAGAATGACCCTTCCTGAAATCATGCTGTTGGGTGAGAAGAAATTTATGGATAGTAAATAATCGTGTATACTATCACATATCAGGGACTCCATGATTTTTTAAGGAATAGAGGGAAGAGCCACTGGTCGGTAACTTGAAGGTTTGCTGCGTTGACCTCCTTTAAAAATTGGTGTGATGTGAGCCAGCTTCCAAGTTTCCGGATTTTGCCTCGGCTTAGCGAGTGTGAGAACATCACGATAATCTGTGTTGCTAGGATTGAAGCTGCTTCCCTCAGTATGGCAGAATGGACCATATCCGGGCCAGGAGAAGTGTCTATTCTTAAGTGCTGCAGTTTCTGAAACACCAAGTCAGAGCTCAGGTTCACTTTGGAAAGTCATGTGCAATTGCAGATGAAGCTGTTATCAGTATAGTTGATGTGGATCGGTTGAAATTTCTGAGAGTATTGTTTAGATAGAAGGTTAAAGGCGTCGCCGTCGTTATTGGTCGGGTCATCAGGACCTAGCAGTTGGGAAATTCCAGTTTCGGCTTTTCGAAGAGAGGCTGCATAACGGAATAAGCTTTTCGGATTGGAGACAAATTTATCCATAAGCTTTATCCGGTACTGAAGCCTGTCTTCTCTTGTTGCTTTAGTGCATATTTTCCTTATATGTTTATATTGCCTGTAGACGCCGTTGTTGTCAGTTTGTTTGTATTCTGCCCAACAGTGCCTTTTGCGGCTTAGCGAACGGAGAGTGCGGTTCTTGATGATTGTAGGTTGTTTGTAGCTTTTGTGGACCGTTTGAGGAACTAACTGCCGTAGAATACGGAGTGATCTAATCTTTGCCTATCGTATACTAAACGATAACTGTGGTATTATGTCTTATTTTTTTCTTCCGTCTAGGACTAATCGTTTGAGAAGACATTCAAAGAAAGCTCAAAAAGCGAGATCAAATCGTCTATATCTGGAGTTTCGTTTCTCGCACCGAGTAGTGCATTATTGAGATTCTCTTCCAGAACACTCAGTACCAGCACTCTCTGTTGATACATATTTAAAACGAGATTGGACCTCCATGGTGTTACAAACCGCAAAGATTAATATAGGTTGATAGACTTATCCTTGTTACTGAAGACTGAATACTGAATAACAAATATAACCTTTGCTTGTTAGGTTGTACGTCATACCGCTCACTTTAAATCATTGAGCATGGTAGGTTGTCTTGTTTTGACGTTTATCCTGATGTGTTACTTAACTTACAGCCTAATAAGCCGAAAAAGATAATTAAAGCTAAGAAGATTAAGGAAGTTGTTCAACATGAACCTGAGGTACCAGTTATTCGTAAAGGGAAGCCTTCAAAAGTTGCTCCACTTCCTGAAATAGCAAAGAAAACGGTGGCAAAGAAGAAGGTCGTCAAAAACCCGTTAATCCAGCGCCGACCTAAAAATTTCGGAATCGGACAAGATATTCAACCAAAAAGGAACCTTTATCGTTTCGCCAAGTGGCCAAAGTACATCGAGCTCCAAAGGAAAAAGGCAATCCTGAAGAAACGATTGAAAATCCCACCCCCGATCCATCAATTTTCTCAGACATTAGATAGGAACTCAGGTATTTCCCGTTTTCGAAAATTTTACTGTACTTAGCTGGTCAAATATTCAACCTGGTTACCAAGTATCAGCCTCTAAGTAAACAAGCTAAGAGAATGCTTCTCGTTCATCGAGCACAATTGCGTGCTGAAGGCAAACCTGATGAACCAACAACACGTAAACCCACTGTTCGTGCTGGTATTCGCGAAGTGACTACCGCCATAACTCAGAAGAAGGCTCGCCTTGTTATAATAGCGCACGATGTTGAGCCAATCGAGGTGGTACTCTTCCTTCCTGCATTGTGCAGGAAAATGGGTGTACCATATTGTATAGTTAAAAGTAAGGCCAAACTTGGACTTCTGGTTCACCGAAAGACGTGTACTTGCTTGGCCTTCACTAATATTAGAGAGTAAGTCCAACTTTTCAAAATAATTTTTAGAGAGGACAAATCGCGGTTATCGAAAATAGTTGAAATGGTAAAGAACAACTACAATGATCGTTTCGAAGAGGTGAGGAATTATTTCTAATAATATTTGCGCTATAGATTCGAAAACATTGGGGTGGTGGAATCATGGGTTCTAAATCCCTCGCCAAAAAGGCTAAACTTGAAAAAGCAAAGAAGAAAGAGCTTCAGATTAAACTTGGATAACTTTACTTTAATACATTTTAACGGAAAAATCTATTCGTCTTATGGTATTTGAAGAACGTGTCTAGTCTGTTACTCTGTTTTATTTACCTTGTTCTTAGTGGCTTCTTGGAATCATGTTAACTTTGCCAATAACTTCGAGTGTTAGACTGTCCGTCTTGACACCATTCGTTGTGCCACATACTGGGATAGCCTAGTAGTTTTTAAAACGTACTATGATAGTTTACAGCTAACTAGTAAATAATATCTAATATTGGTAATCGTTTAAAAGGAATTAATCAACATGACTCAGCGTCATGTGCATTCTCGTTTTGTTTACTTTCAGTTCTTACGCTTTGTAATCATTCGACTTTACTGTCTTTGATAATATTACTCAAATATTTATCTGCTCTCAGTTGACGTTATGTTCATTCAAAGTTAATATACTTTCGCTATAAACTTTCCTCATGTTCGTGACTACTTTCCTACAAGTAGTGTCTCCTTTACATTAATATTCTTGATGACTCCCTTTGAGTTGATATTCATGTAAACTTAAACATATGTGTAATACTTTAAGCGGAGACAACCCACTTGTGGTTGGGTTTTCCCATCACTTGCTATGCATGTGGCTCCATTGACAATTGGTAAGTTAGCCGTTTAAACGATCTAAAGCAGTTGAACCTAATCAAATACGAGTTTTTTGTTGTCAGTTTGGTAGAGCTGATAATATAGTTTGCCATGGTTGGGGCTACAAAATACTCAGATGATGTAGCATTTTGCCATCTGACAGGCACGAACAGTTCGTAATAACTGATCAAGTAACAACCTGGACTCCGAATATTTCTAATTCATTGCATATTATCGCAATAAACTTGGCGAACACTGATCAAATGATCCAGTCAGTCGCCCAACGGTTTTGGTTTCGAAGTTTTGCGGTTTGAAGGAAAAGCTCTTTTAAGCTTCTGGACATAATAAGCCTGAACTTTTTAAGTCTAAGAGATGTTTGTACTGCTGGTGTGTTAATGTGTACTGACATCCCTGTACGAAGTTAATAGCTAGTATTGTTATACAGGGGTTAGCGTGATTTCGTTAGACGACCTATATATAATCACTCAATGAATGTCATTTGCGTATTTTATCGTGTCGTGTAAGCTTAGGTTATTGTTTCTATGTTGGTCATCTGTCCACTAATATCAGTATCTGTTTCCACTTAGTCTACCATGGTTCGCCTAGTGCTACAATACTAACAGCTTAGGTTCACGCTTATCATTTTTTTAAATGTAATACCGCCTTTTGGAGTCACGTACAACGTGGTTTAGCATGACATTGGCAAATGTTCTCTAAGGAATAACCCAACCCGAAAAGATCAGGCTGCAAATTTCAGAGATAAAGGATGTCTTTAGTTTCAAACAACAAACAGACTATAATTAATAGAACGTACCTTTTCCGTATGTGTTACCAAAACAGAATAGGGCTGTCATAACATTCCGTACTGGCGAAAGCCAATTATAATTGAGAGGACTTAGTGGCTGTAATTTTAGGTCCCCAGTTCTTATGTTGCAAGCTCGAGGCCTGTGTAGTTTGTTTTGAACGAACGATATCGTTCGCAATACATTTGGCTAGTAGTAGCATACGCGACCGGACTTGTCAATCTAGCTACTCGGGCTTATTCCAGTTTCCCATATGTTGTAGGTCCCATTCATACTGTATGTTACCAGGATATCATGCATTTGGTTTAGTTATTAAATTACCTAGCTATTGTAAAGAAGTAACACAGTCCACTCTTCCGTCGTTCTAGAACTTGTCGTAGTTCCAAAATCACTTCTGGGTAGAAGTCTAGTAGGTTATGGTTTTCAGTCTAGTGTCACCCTAAGTCAGTCTAAAAAGGCCAAGGTTGGAGACGTTGAATGACATGGCTGAAAATCGTTTGCATGGCGCAGGTGCACCCACTCTGTGTTCCCCCAAACCCTAATCTTCTGAATTCTTCATATCCCTTTTTTCCTCTTTCCAAATTTATTTCACTGGATTATCCCGGAATAACATCTTCAAACGCTAATGTTCCCGATTGCTACCTCTACCATTATGGCATTTGAATTGACAATTGTATATTTGTGCTAATGTGGCATGGCAACTCGAACTGATGTACGTACGTACGAAGTTCTACGTTGTTACTGACTGACTGCAATGGTAAATGTTCACTTAGTGTTATTTACTTGTATCTTCCGATTGTCATTTAAGATTACAATTCATCAGTCTCTCTACGCTGTTGTTGACTGACAAGGCCAAGGAACTAGATCATTCGGCCAGTAGCAGCGGTTTGATTAGTCAAGATATCAGTCGTAGTCCTAGGTCCAACTGGTATCAATCGTTGTAGTTCGGAATACCGATCTTGCTAAATATCTCTTGATCAGCAGTTTCTAAGGTTTTGGTCATCGACTAAGTGTCGTACCGAATTGTGACTCTACTTATAGACATCGGGCGATAGCCCTCTCCCCTATCTTGAAGACAGTTAGTGACTGATAGAAAGTCCCTGTAAGTAATGTAACAGTAAAATAAGATCGTTCGATAACTCATGGTCAGATTTATGTGTAGATATGCAGTCCATAAGATAGCTTATTGGCATCTGGAGTTGACCATGATAAAGATGCGTTATTTCTTTTTTCTCTGGTTATTAGCACATTATTTCTCTGTGCCTTTTGCTTTCCCTCTTGTTGAGCCGATGTGAATTATGGTGGCCTAAACCAATGTCTATATTTGCGAGGCTGTAGTCTGTCATTGTCGTCAGCTCGACAAGAGGAAGAATTAAAATAATAATCTGACAAATCTACAGAAGTAAAACCCTGTAGAAATAATGAGCAATAAAATGTTTGAGAATATACCAAGGCTAAAAGCCTCATAACCACAGATTATTTGACTGTCTTATGAGTCTCAACCAGGGAGATTGTATTTCTATATACAACTGGAGCAATAGGTATACGTAATCACTTCTCATCGGGATTTTCGTGAGCTTTTTGGAGAATGCATGTTTGTACCCGCTGACATTTGTCGCATATTTCGACCTACTTGTGCTACATGACTGTATGTAATTCTGGACCCGCCTAAATCTATTAGGTTACTAGTGTTTGTGAATCTCTGACATATCACAATCTGGAAGAATAAGACTATTAATATACAAGCGTAGAGTTCTAGGCAGGTAGAGTAGTGTAGTCGTTAAAGTTAGTGTACATTGCCTGAGGTGGTTGAGGAATGTTCAGCCCACATCGCACCACTAAATAATGAGATTTAAGGAGGGTTGACAATAGCCTAGAGCCGAAGACAATTTTTGGTCTACGATAAATTGACGGAAGGCTTAGAGATACAGTACACCTGAATTTAGAGTAACTAGGTAATGTTTATTTTTATTTTAGCACATAGATATTGGTACAAGGAGGCACCAAATACGTATGCACCACACAAATCTCATTCGATATGTGTGAGGGCTGTGATGCTGCCCGGGTGCCCAGACCGAAGCAAGTGGTTTTCTTAAGAGGCCACTCCCCGAAGGTCTGATCCACAGGGCAAAGGAGCATCGTAAGAAGATGCAGTCCCATGGAAGCCGGTGACCGAAAATTGGTTTATACGCTATTTGTTCCCGCAGGATACTGGAGCCCATGTGCACCATTGGTTTCGAATCCGGTTAAAGCGCCGGACATTCGCTTTTCGTCCTCTTATTTCCGTAAACAACACTTCCGCCACGAGAAGACAGTGAGTAGGTTATATACGCGTGGCCTTGTGAGAGCATTTCGAGAGGGAGAGCGGACTCTCACCACTCTCTGCCGTACCGGGGCATTTGGGGGCACTTACGGAAACTACTAAGTAATGTAGTTCCTGTAAGTACAATACCGTCATTCACATATTGGCACACTAATTCCGAACTATATTGTTTCTACTGACTGTCTAATTGAATTTCACACAATGATTGTCACCGTAGGCGACATGACGCTGAATTCATTCTTTATTTTCACTTAAATTGAGAATTTCAAGATTCTTCCACATGCTTTGTTTTGCGAATTTCTTCTCCATCTTCGAAGCATTCTCAGTATTAGATCTTTCCTTATCATTATTATTACTACCTTTATTTCAACTACTTTGCTATTCATCTTTATCTTGCTGAGTTGATGTCACGTGATAATATGAGCTGATGGACATCTGTAGCCGTTCGTATGTTGATTACGACTGACTGAAAAACTGATCTAAAAACAGTCAATCTAAACTAAGCGGCATTGCGTCAGTCAAAAGCAACATAGAGCCTGGTGCATGTGTACATCAGCTAAATTTGTCATACCCCATTGCATAGCGAGATGAAATTGTCAGGGTAAATCCCAGAGTAATAGAGGTAGTAACATATTGCTGGTAATAAAAAAGACTAGGCATCGAAGATAAGGTTAGAAAATGTATAAACTAGTGCGACAAAAAGAAAAGTCATGAATTTAGATACAGGCTTTAAGGGAAGACAGTGAATCCACGCTCACCGTTGCGAATGGTTCAGATCAGTGTCATTCAAAGTCTCTAACCATTCGTTACGATAATCACCCTGACCACAACCACATAGTCTGCATCTATTTACAATGTCCAGTTCAACAGTAATTGATTTCATGGAGTGCTCCCAAGTCATCGTTTTACAGTTTTAATTTTCCTCCTAACCCACTCATCATACACCTGTAAACATCGTCCATCGAAGTAGGCAGTGTTAGGATAACTATAATGCATGTAACACCCACTTCAATCGATTATTATTTACTACCTCACCAGCCGATTTGTCACTTTTATCTTGTATCCCATCCATAACCTCAGCAATGCTTCGAGGGCATCTATAGTCATAAAATAATAACCTACGAATATAATAAATGCCATGTTTCACAACCACAAAGTAAGGTGGAGTGAACTACTGTTGTTAGCGGGACATAGACTAGATTAAAGCATGCTCAATGCATGATTGCTTTGGTGCACGCTGATTGGCTAATTGTTATCCAATCAGCACTAGTCGATAGTTGGAGAATATTCTGGAATCTTATGTAAAAACTATAAATATACTGACGTTTTCCCTATTGTGCTTCTGACGTGCTTCTTACTTCCATCTAACCTTGTTATTTGGAATATAATCTCTTTCCTGTTCAACCGTGTTTTGATTTGGGGACTTGTCGAGTGAATCGGTGTCCGAGAATACTAAGCAATAGGAATAGCTGGGCCATTACCGTAAGAGAGAGAGAGTTATAACAACTGTACATTAAGCTTGTCCTTTAGTTGGCAAATGGATATCTAGCTTACACTACAAGTTATGCAAATTGAAAAAAAACCAGCCTGAATTTTTGAATCCATGACCAGATTTCGTCAGACGCCAACCCATATGAGCTGATGAGACTTCCAAGATAAGTGAAGTAATCAACAAATTCAACTACTTCATTCATTATCACCGGTTTAGATGCTGACGCGGAAAGGTTCTGAAGTAAAATTTTGTATTTGGAATGAGAGAAACGCATCCTAAACATCCTTGCAACGTTGCTTAAGACGGTCAGAAAACTACACTTATCCAGGGTCTTCAATAAACAAAAATATACCATTTGTGTATCCTAAGTTGACAAGAGAATCTCATAGTAGAAAATTGATTCCTGGTAAGTCAGATGATAAGAATGTTATTTCTAAATGAATGCCTATGACAACACATTTGCAGTAACGATAAACTAGAAATATTACTAATTAAAGAAAAGAGATACGATTTGCAAAGATTGATTTATTAAACATGAGAACATAATTGAAATGGAGAACTCTTTTTTTTAGAGAATCTTGGACTCTAGTGCTATTTTTGCTCGAGTAAATGCTGAAACAAATGCACCCAATTGTAATCTTTCTGATGCTCCTTGTGACATACGATTTTCTATATCGGATAACGCAATTAATAAATCACAGCGTATTGCATCCGGCAAATCAACTAAATATCAATTGAGAAAATAATTGAAAAGTAAACAGAAATCCTACTACAATGAAATGTCGAATAGATATTGTCAGAAAAACTAAGTGTTCATGATATCAATATAACTTCAATGACGAAATCGGATGGAATGCCGAATAGGTTAGGTGATAACACATTGATGTTTGAAGAGATAGGTACCCAATTCCAGTCTCGATGTGAACATGTACATACAACTGATGAGTCTCAGCTAAGACAAGACGTCTGTTAACCAAATAGCAAATATACTAAAGCTTGTGACTAAAGGTTATATCAAGTAAATCTGCCTAAGATGTGCATATGATTTAAGAGATTGATCGCAATTGCAGTTGTGAATATCAACAAACGGGCAATAAAAATTTCAAGCTTAACTCTGTAGCCGTAATGAATAAAACGTTCTGTCAACTAGAATTGTTAACGTTTTTGTAATAACAATTAGGAATACTTGACTGTACATGATTTTCATTGGGATAGATTAATCTTCGCCAATAATTATAGCCAAGATTCTCAACATTCATTGGCCGGATACCATCAGTAACAGCCTTTTGTGGGAGAGAACAAACCAACTTCCAGCTGAAGAAGAAACTAGGAAAAGACGATGGAAATGGATAGGACATACATTACGCAAATCGTCAAACTGCATCACAAGGCAAGCCCTAACTTGGAATCCTGAAGGGAAGCGGAAAAGAGGAAGGCCAAAGAACACATTGCGTCGGATAATAGAAGCAGATATGAAAACGATGAATTACAACTGGACGGAGCTAGAAAGGATTGCCCAGGACAGGGTTGGATGGAGAACGCTGGTGAGCGGCCTATGCTCCTTCACGAGGAGTAACAGGCGTAAGTAAGTAATAATTATAGCGCTTTATTGATTATTACAGATGGAGCTAACATAAAGGATTTATCAAAAAGATAAGGTTAGATAACCAATTAAATCCGGATTATATTAACAAGGATTACAAATATTCAAAAGAAATGTTATGTTGACATTTTTAGTTGGCTACGCTCTAATCGGTAAATCCTGTTAATCACTGGCAAGGACTAACCGAATACACTTCCGGTTAAAAATGCAATATGGTAACATTAGTTAACAGATATTTGTTCCAGGTTCTGCTCTACGGTAATAATGATTGACTGATTTCTAGTCAAGAAGTAATATATGAGCTAAAGGGATTACATCAGATTATTGATAATTTTTTACAAGGGAGAAACTGATTTATTCTCTAATTTGGTGAAAATATTAGATATTAAGTGATTAGAGGCAAGTGTCAAGAAGCTTTTTTCCTCAATTTGGCGTCATTTAGCACTCATCAGTCAGTGATACGTATTCCGTAGCCTATAGGTCATTGATGTTTTTTGTGTGCAGTTTAAACCTGTATTCAATGATTAATTTGGTGCTATTTGGACAATTGTTGATGACATACCGATTACGGCAAGTCGTGATTGGTCGACAAGAAATATCTGGCTATACTAAACATAAAAAACTATCTTATATATAAAACCGACTTCACCTGGTCCCACTCTGCATCCATTTGCTAACTGCTTTGTATTGCAACAAAAGGCTGTTGTTCTGGACTATATCTGGTTCTTGATTGCTAGGTGGATAATTTAATATCGTGTATTACGTGACCGAGTATTGTGACTTAATAATCTATCGACCTAGTACCCCTTTTGGTGTTTAGCTCTACTTATCAAGTATGCATTGTGGAACCGCATCGAACGCTAGGATCGTGATTCCAAACCTTTTTATTTTTTCGTTCTAATAGTTTGCAAATGGACCAGTTTTAAGTAGTTGTGTGGTATGTGCTACTGATGTCAACAGATATAAGTAGTGTGTATCATCAATCGAAAATTAGATGTCTGGCGGCAGAAGGACAAGAAGATCGAAGAAAAAAGAAAGAAAAACAGAGTGATCGGTGTGGAAACGAAAGAACAACTAAGTCCGAGACGATTGATTGATATTTTGCAAATGAAATATTTACTGTATGGTTCTCAGATTTTACCAAGAGATTATGTAATTTTGTGTCGAGATACATTCCATTGTCCCCACTATCTTTATTTATTTAAAAGCATAAACATTGGTACAAAGAGGCGCCAAGTAGATATGCGCCACATAAATCATTCGATTTGTGCGAGGGCTGATATACTGCCCGGGTCCCCACACCGAAGCAGGCGGTTCTCTTAGAGGGCCACAGCCGGAGCCTTTGACCTAAAGGTCTAGTCCACAAGGCAGCGGAGCATCGTAAGGAGATGAAGTCCCATTGTAACCGGTGGCCAACAATTGGTTCATACACCATTTATTCCATAAGGATACTGGAACCCATGTGCATCATTGGTTTGAAATCAGGGTTTTCTAACTCCACTAGTTGAACTCTGTGTGTCCACCAACCCGGTTAAAGCGCCGGTGTTTCGCTTTTTGTCCTCTCAATCTCGTAAACAACAAATTCGCCGCGAGAAGGCAGTGATTACATGTGGTCATATGAAAGCGTTTCAAGAGGGAGAACTGACTCTCCCCATTTGTGTTCTAGTTCACTATAGTTGTTCATTATCTTCTGTAGTCATTGTGATCTGTCATCAAAACCACTCGTAACCTAAATGTATTTTGAAATACCTAAAAAGAATTCTCTTCATGCTATAGGTAAGAGGTAAGTTACATGACGTTATCGACATGATCAATGGAGCTTAACGTTCAAAGGACGAAACTAACCAGGTATTCTAACATATACATATTATCCTTGTATTACATCTAACTTAGATTTTGTAATAGTTAAGATAGTAATGTTAACTGAAAATGTATTGTATTTCATACACTACAGTATATTGTACATGCATATATGTGCCTGGTCCCACGTTGTAACTGACTGACTATATTGTACACACAGGACTTGTTTAAAAAGTTAAAGATTGTTGGGGGGGGGGTAAAGATATTTAGTTACTAGACAATATAATTTAATATAAAAAATAACAAAGAAACTTACTACGCATTATCAATGGATGAATTTCTGTAATTATATCTTGCAATGCAATTCCTTTCAAATTTTTTACTGCTGTAATATCTAAAAATATATGAATATGATATAATAGAATATGAATGTTTGCTCTTAGGAAGTTATTTGTACTTTAGAACAAAAATGATCATTAACTTAAAGTATAATTGATCATATTCGATCCAAAGTAATGTGTAAACATATCTGAACGTGTTCACTATTCGCTACAAGAATACGAAGAATTTGTAGTCCCGAAGTCATAGATACAGAATTGGACCTCTTGAAGGAGATACTTATTTAAAAAAAAACAGGTATCCTTCGATATTCATTGATAAGAATATAAAACCGAAAATACAAATAATTACAGTAGAAAAGAAAACTTTATGTATGAACATCGAATTCAAGGGTGACAGAGAGCCATATACATCTAAAAGAGGAGAATTTCGAATTCTTTAAAAAGAACATTCTTCGCAGCAACATTGTGAATAGTATTCTTCAGTCGACCATTGTTCACCAATAATCTTAAAGATAAATTATTGCATCTGATCAACTCAATGGGCATTTACCAATTTACTTGCTCATGTGGAGCTAGGTATATAGGTCGTTCGATGTATACTTTATCAAAAAAGAATTCAAGAATATTATCCGGGGTGGCTAAAAGGAGGAGGAAACGACTCAATAAGAAGTTCAATAATCGAACACCTTATGAACACAGGTCACTCAATCAAGACAGACTCTGTGTTCAAAATCATCCACAAGGTAAGTAGAAGTCTTCCAAAGACAATTAGATTGCATCTTCTTTGCATTGCTGAAGCAATAGTCATACATCTGGAAAAACCAGAGTTGTGTGTACAAAAGAGACTGGTACAACCTCTTCTTCTACCATGGTCTTAATGTTTCATAATCTTTTTTCTCTTCATACTCTGCTTCCTTTACAGCCATCTGTTTCACCTACCATCTTCCCCTTAAATCTTCTAACCCCCCCCCCAACTCGTTTATTTGTTTCTACGATCATCCTGATTACATATAATCCTGGAGTTTTGTTCTCTGAGCTGGAAAAGAACTCCATAGAAATCATTCAACTGAGCTACAAATCTTCTCCATCATTTCAAAATCATACATTTCATCTCAATTTTAACATTTTATCTTATCATGCTGAGCTATCCTTTCCCAATGATAATCTCCCTATCTATCATTTGATGAATACTTCAGCCATAATCAATCGAACGATTATTAAACTTTCCTTGTTTTCTAAAAGAATTTTTTCAATAACTTTGTTTATTTAACCTCACTGTCAACATGTCTAACAGAAGTTTATTATCAGTACTATTATCATCCTGTAAAAATAAGTATATATATTTGCGATTGTACAGCTTTGAAGATGAATTCGCCGGAAAGAGAAATCTTCACTGAACTAATCTTTCTTATTTAAACGTAATCTGTTAGATTTTCTTCTTGTTGAAATTGATATGATTTGATAACTGATTAGTGGCTTATTGATTAGGGTGCTTAACTTTCAACCATTAGGTTGTACGTAGGCGTCATATTGCACCTCTTTCGGTTCGGGCAGTTGGATAAGATCACTAACCCTTATATATAAAATGTGACTCAAAGTGGAGTACGTGAATCTGTATTTGATAAGATGCATCAATGGCTGAGTATATGTTCATGTAATACCAGGCTTTACGTCACACTTATTATGGGGATAATAAAACATTTTAGCATAATATATCACCAAACTATCCTCGATATTATCTGATTTTATCACATCTTCTAAAGAAGCCATTCAAAAAGATGCAACTGAGAAAATGGGACAGATGTTAACTAGAATCCTAAGGAAGAAGAAAAATGAGTTTATTATTAACTGCCACCTCTATGAACACCTTAGACTATCGTATTCCTTTATACCAAGACTGTACGGCCTCGCAAAAGTTCATAAGAAAAATATGCCCCTATGTCCTATACCTGACATGAGTTATTCTCCATATCATTCGATTATTAAATGGTTAGCTGAGATTTTGAAACCTGGCAAAAATTACATTAAAGGGTACAACTCTTCTGATTCAATTGATTTTGTCGACGCAATTAGAAATATCAATGCAAATGATAGAAAACAGATCTTATTGAATGTCACTTCTCTCTTTACAAATGTTCCACTCACAGAAACTATATGTTTTTTATGCGACTATATTGAAAATAACAACTTTGAAATTTGTGTCCCAAAACATATTTCTACGATGTAGTCTCAATGAGAAATTTAGATTTGATAGTGATTCCCATAGACAAACTGATGGAGTTGCAATGGGTTCACCATTGGGTCTCCTCTTAGCTGATTGTTTCATGGACAATATCAAAAATGCGGTATTTCGACCAATAATTGATATTTCATTTATATAAGAGATATACGGATGATACTTTCATTATTTGTGAAGAAGATATAGATCACAATGATATTTAGGATTGGTTCAATATTTGTCATCACTCAATTGAATTCAAACTGGAACCAGAGGCGAACGAGAAATTTCATTATCTTGGTGTACGGTTAGAAATAAGGTCAGATGGTTTTTACAGAGACCTATGTATAAAAAACCGACCTGCAATGTTCGGTATACGAAATTTCATGGCTGGGTCCCCTTGAATAGGAAGAGAAACTTAATTCACTCTTTACCCTCTATGATTAAGCAAATATGTTCTAATGGCACAATAGACGATGAACTACTTCAACTTCGACAGACACTCATCAGAAATGGTTATCCACGTAGATTTGTCGAGAGGAAGTTAACACCTACACAACATCCGGAAAAAGCACCAGCAGTTCAGAAGAAAACTCTGTATGTATATCGAATTTAAAGGGGATACTGCTGCCAAAATCTTGAACAAATGGATTTCAAAGTCCTGAAAAAAACCTTCTGCTTAGTCCTTCATTGTTTTCTCAAGCCGGCCTACTATTCATGTATGTGTTAAGGATTAACTTCTATTTTGAGCCACATCGATGTGCATCTATGAATTTGCTTGACTACGTTATCTGAAGTGGCCGCGAGACATTACAAATGAATGGGAAATACTAGTATACTAGCTACAGTATAGAAGTTTTTGAGTGGTAAGACACTAATGTATTGGATCTTGGACAACTGGTTTTCGTAGTATAGGGGAGTTTTCTATCTTAACAATTTGTTTTTACTGATTTCGTCGACTGCTATGTTTAGTTATTTAGTTACATCTTGGATTATTTTCGCATTTTATTTACGACTAATTTGGAATTTTCATCTATTTGATGTCGATATAAGAAGCAATGAGTTTCCTGTTTTGAGTATGATATCTGTTCAACATAGACAGATTTTTACTCGCGATATTGAGATGGAGGGACTTTTTGATATTTGCAACTACTAAACAACATCACAAATGATCAAATGCAATAAAGATTGATACAGTTATCGAGGCAACTTACTGTGATAGGCAGTACTGATCGGTTCATTCAGTACATGATCCAATAGCGATCGAACCTCAGCCGGTGAAGGATATGCAACACAAGCATAGACAGAAGGTCCGTCGACAGTTTTTGAAGACATAGATGTACTCTTCATGGATTGGAGATAAATGATGAACATAAGGAATATTTGAGTCAAATAAACCATGATAAGAACATATTACAAGAAATCTCTACAAAAATATCTGTATTGTGTAATAAGTAGTTGGTACGCCAGTTGTGTAAATTGTTGTAAGTCTCGAAATATCTTATAGTGGCCCGATATCTGATTCTGATTTGGGCGAGCATATCAATAAGCCATGAATATTAATCTCCGATTTAATTCTCTATATTACACCTAGGCTAATACCGTTTGAACGACGGGGGTACTATGAAGTTGAACACGGATTAAGTTGGATGAACTTATTTCAGACATTCATTTACTACAACATACGTTAAGATAAGACGTAGGAAAGAGAAGCAGAGAAGACAAGTGTGCCAACTTTTGCTACTCATTACAAACCGTAATATAGCTTAAACCAAAAAATGCGTAGTATGACAAAAGACATTGAATAAAATGGATGACGGACAAACACGAGACGCATAAGCGTATAACTACAAGGATATCAATATAAGATTTATGTATGGTGAAGGTCACAACTTCCTATGAAAAGAATAGTTATTATGACAGTAATAATGACTCAGCAGTCTCATTTTATCTAGTACTGTGTGCTAAGTCTTCGATTTCATTGGTTATGATCCTAGAGACTTCTATTCTGTGAATTGGTTGCCAACACACTAAACGGGCGATAAAAGGTGTGGTTATCGTGACACTGGACGGTGTGATGGAGGATAGTTGAAGTCATTAATACTTTCTAGGTTCGCTAAGACTATGGATGAAATACTACAGACCCTGTAGCTCAGCAATAGTAACATTATTATGAACATAACCAAAAAAATCAGCATAAATTATTTTTTGGATGTGAGATGGATGACTTAGTTGTGAAGCTTTCATTATTCCACAAACCTACATCTCAAAGTATAAGTTAAAGTACGCCACTCTGAATCAAATCACTCGGAGATAATATGTAACTGCAAAACCAAAGGAGATGAGGGGAAGTTTAAGCATATAATCTTACAGTTTAAATCTGATTGGTTTAATTGTTGAACTACCACTTTATTATAAAACTCAGTGTTTGTGAAAGCTACCAGTCATGGTGATTACAGTTGAGATTTTACATTGCGCTCTCCATAGACGGTCAAACGTAGTCAATACAACTTAGATCAGCTAAGTCCATATCTGAACTACACACTTATGATTACAAGTTTTGTTTTCTAAATGACTCTCCTATATCCCTTCACAATATGGTAATTTGTTTCTTATGATAAATTTCTGAATGCTTTGTAGTACTAATTTTAGTGTTAGAAATAAGTGACTAACCGTATCCTACCAGTATAAAAGTTAATTCACTCATGTAATTAAATTAAAATCGATGGGGTTGATAACAGGAAATTAAAATGTTTCGCAGTATCACTCAGATTTGATATGTTGGACCGGGAAGCCATAGTCAACTTAGAACCTGACATGTGTACATCGGTTTAATTTTCGATACCCCATAAGCACAGAGAGATGAATTCCAAAGTAGTAGAACTAGTAGCAGTACCAGTAGAGAAAGATAATTATAGAAAGAATAAAAAGAAGTATACGATTTCGGGACTCAGGATCTTGGACACACAGAGTGAATGGACACATGCCATTGCGAACGACTCAGATCAGTGTCATTCAAAGTCTCTAACCATTCGTTACGATAATCACCCTGACCACAACCACATAGTCTGCATCTATTTACAATTTCCAGTTCAACAGTAAATGATTTCATGGAGTGATCCTAAGTCATCGTTTTACAGTCTCGAGTTTCCTCCTAACCCACACATACACCTGTAAACATCGTCCATCGAAGTAGGCGGTGTTAGGATAACTATAATGCATGTAACACCCACTTCAATAGATTATTATTTACTACCTCACCAGCCGATTTTTCACCTTTATCTTGTACCCTGTGCGTAAACTCAGCAATATTCACTTATTGGTCCCAAAATACGATAGCGATACTTTGAACACATCTATGATTAAATACTAGTAACCTGTGAATACACTGTTTTTAAACGCTATATTTTAGTCACAAAGTAGAACAGACTGAACTCGTTCCACACTGGAAAACGGGCAATTCACCTGTGCTACAAGTAATGGAAGTAAGAAAAGCCCAACGAGTTTTTGAAATTTATGCCCAACTTTCGTCAAATACCAACTTAGTGTGGCTGGTGAGGTGGTTGACACACTCAACTACCTTACTCAATATCATTAGTTCAGGTGTATACGCACACCAGTTCTGAAGCAATAGATCATGTTCGAGGATAACGCTTAAATGTCCTCACAATGTTGATCGAGACAATCACAAGACTGTATTTTTTCGTTGTCTTCACACAGAAAATAATGTTAATGCTCTATAAACATGAGGAAGTTCGGTTAAACTATAATTTATGGACGAACCAATCAGTTTTAGAATAAGGTTTTGGATTTTGGCGCAAAAGTCATCCATTCATTTGGTTAGAGAGCATTTTGGCATTTAAGCTATCAGTTCGTGATGGAAATCCCTAACGTAATTCCTGACCCTTACAATCAACTGCAAATTATAAGCTCTAGTAAGTAGGTGAACATTCCCAAAGCCACTTCTGCGTCGCTCAAATGTCGTCCATGAACTACAATCTCACAGGAAGTTCTACAGCAGCGTCTCCCTCTAGTTGTTTGGTTTCTTTGAATTTAATGCAACCTAAGCAGCACAAAAAGATATCACTGGTGAGATTCTTAAGTAACACAATAGTTAAGTCTGGTTTACGATAAAAACACTACACTCTCTAGGTGATTTCAGTATGACATAAATAACGGAGAACCTACTACGTGTGAATGAAGATACATCCAGGATCAATCTGAAATTTGGTACTTATCTTTAGCTATGTATTTAACTAACAAAACAACTGGGAACGTATTTACACATAGATTACCTGTAATAAGTTGATAGATTTACGCATATCCCCAGCTGCAAACTGATAAATTGCTTTTACTCCATCGTCTGTTAAATCGACGCTAAACAGGAATAAGAGAGACTTTTGTTTACCCTTCATTTGATGCAATTTTTCGAAGACACACACTGACATCATTGAAGGGCAGTGGTGCAAAACGGAACTTGGTGCACCGTGATTGGATTGCAGGGATAATTTTCGACAAGTAGTTACAAATTAAACAAAATCGGGTGTTTTCCGTAAATTTTTCGATAACTAAAACATATGCGAAAACACAGAGTTACTTCTTCGAAGTGCATTTTGAGCGTCTTTTGTCATGGAATCAGCTTCGTCTAGAATAACCAGCTTGAATTTTCCACTGGAGAGTTTGTATAAAAATGAATATCTTACGCGAAGAGAGTTTTCGTGCTGGCGAAACTCAGTACTTGTTCACGAACAACATCAATCCCCCGATCATCGGAGGCATTAAGCTACAACTATATTATAAATCTGAACACGTACCTCTAAAACCATGGATGCAAACTGACGAGAGTACAAACGCTTTGCGGCAGCTAGGATAGTGCTAGTTTTTCCCGTTCCCGGTGGACCATAAAACAGTAAATGCGGTAGCCTGTCATTATCAATAAATCTCTTTACTACAACAGCAGTTGAATTTATTTGGAAATACTAGTTTTTGATATGTCGTCATGACTTATAAGATCTTCTATCGAGCTCGGTCTGTACTTCTCAATCCTGAAACAGAACTCCAGTTTTATCTACAAAATACCATGGTATTTCCATTGCAATCCGCTAGGATTTCAAAAATACACAGTGGCGCACAACCTTTGATGGTGGTGCGATAAAAGTTGTCGCAACCTCAAGTCTAAACTTGCCACTCTGTTCAGCAGAATCAGAGAGATGACCTTATACTGGCATTTCGTATCTTTAGTTATGATTTGGATGTTAATATGTCATCTTTTTGCTACCTCCATCACTAATAATCTCCGAGGTCATAGCAAGAATCTTCACAAACAGCGATCCAACAAACTTAAAGTGGGGTCCCGTTTTTCTCATCGAGTAGTCAGTGACTGGAACGCCTTACCCGAACAAGTTGTATCAGCCCCATCAGTGAATATCCTCATGGAGAAACTGGACCTTCACTGGAAAGCAATCTATCAGAATTAACACTGGTTCACTAGCCTACCAACCTTATTACTGAGGACTGAAGACAGACTGAAGACTGAAGACTTTCCATTGTCTTCCCAGTAAATACCCTTGTCTGTATTTTTAAACAAGATAACTTCCTCTGTGAGATCAATAATATCATCAGAAAGCGTGATCAGTTATCTAGAGACGAACGCTTTGATATGTTGAATTCCTTCAGGAATGAAATTTAAGGAAAACTCATTTTATGAGCTCTTATGATGATACGTCAACGTGAACAGTTCATGGTATCTCGGATTGCAGGATGTAATTTAAAAAAGGATTGATTTGAAGGATTCCCGTCTTTCTCATCGAGTAGTCAATAACTAGAACGCCTTACCCGAAATATGTGGTATCAGCTCCATCAGGGAATAATTTCAAAGATGAACCTTCATTGAAAGGCAATCTGTCAGGATTAATGCAGGTTCACCAACCTACTATTCTTATTGCTGGAGACTGATGTCTAATCCTAGGGCACTTTAATGCACCAATAGTAGACTGGGAAAATCTGCGAACTGAATTGTCAGATAATTTATTAGAGCAGGAACTAGGTGATGCGGTTACCACATGTACCTTAGTGAAAAATGTGAAAGAAGCGACTGGGTATGACCCGGACTCTGAATCATCCTTACTAGATCTTATATTGACACATTGTGAGGATGACGTTACGAAGGTTACTCGATTACATGTCACCCCTAGGTAAAAGTGATCATGAGGTTTTAAGCTTTGACTCCCACATAATTGTCAAAAGTGAGAGCGCGTCAGCTCAGTCCAGATCTAACGTCTGGAAAGCAAACATACAAGATATCATATGCTCAGCATCGTCATTAGACTGGCCAATAGACCCAGAGTTCTCAATTGAAACTACTTGGAACGTATTTTGGAATTTATACTTGAAGGTTGCCGCACCCCACATCCTTTGGACTGCACCAAGGGGGGCGAGGTGTAGCCTACATTGACTTCATCAAAGCTTTTGACAAAGTTCTGCAGAACTGGCTGTTATATAAGCTAAGAAAAGTCGGGATCAGATGCAATTTATTGATGTGGATGAAGGAATTCCTAGTTGAGTGGCAACAAAGAGTACAGATGAACTTGTAGTGACTCACATTTATCACGAGAACACGACTGGTTTAATAAAAACAATTATTATTATAACCAACTGTACCAGTGTTTGTTTTAATGTGCTTTTGTTTGACTGTGCTAATGACAGCTATATTGTGCTTCTATTCTTATTCTTACACTTTGATTGTGACTTCGCGCGAATTCGGTTACATTCTGTAACCAAGCTTGTATCCTGGCACGATCTCGGTATCCTTTCGATACCACGAGATCGCCAGCAAATATATATCGACTTGGTCCATTAACTGCCTCCTAATATTTGGCTTCTCGGGGATTTTATGGATTTATTTGGTTACGTTCAACCTTCGCCTTCTGATTTATTTGGCACGTGTTTCTTGGTAGCAGTGTTCATAGTCAATCTCGACTCGACGCCACGCTACATACTCAAAATTATATATCTGGGAAACTGTGCTTAGTGGGGCGCCCCAAGGTACATTGTTGGGACCAGCCTTACTGCTTTTTTATATAAATGACCTTCCTCGTCTACTATCACCATCGGTCCTTCTATATGCTGATGATGTCAAGATATGGAGAGCAATACGAAGTGACGGTGATAGCTTAGAACTCCAAAATGACCTGGAGAAATCTGAATGGTCTCAAACCTGGCAGTTGCCGATAAATACTTCCAAGTGTATTGTGATGCATGTCGGTCATCGAGGCACAGATACGTACGCGATGAATAACACTGAGCTACCTGTTGTCCAGACACACACAGACTTAGGAGTCATCGTTAACCAAGACTTCAAGACCAATGCACACTGTCGTTCGATAACTGCCAAAGGTTTTACAACCCTATGGTTAATACATAGGGCAATTAGTCATGTCGACGCAAAAGCGCTTTTGACTTTGTACACAATATTCGTACGTCCTAAGCTCCAGTACAGCATACAATCGGCTAGCCCTTGCTTAAAAAAGACTGTGCGCTTTTGGAAAAGTTGCAGAGAACAGCAACTAAGCTGATTCTCAGAATAGCGAAGCTCCCGTATGATGCTCGGCTGGCCAAGCTAAACCTATTGCAGTTGTCTTATCGAAGAAATAGAGGTGACCTGATATCAGTTTTCAAATTACCTAGTGATAAATTTGCACCTGATATGCCCTCATTTTTTTGTCTTCCAAAACAGAGAATTTACGAGGACACTCCGAAAACGTTCACAAGCCCAGGACAAATTATTTGACAGCTGACTATCGACTTTCCCATCGAATCACCAACGAGTGGAATTCACTAACTCAGCACGTGGTTAAGACTTCATCCTTCGACTATTTCAAAAGAAAGTTGAATCAACTGAGAGACCATCAAGCCAGGACTAACACAGGCTATCAAGCCTCCTGTCTGTTCCAAACTTAAAGTTTTTCCTGTCTTTGAAATTTTCAGTCTTCAGTAATAGGAATAGTAGGTCGATGAACCTGTGTTGATTCTTATAGTTCGTTTTGCAATGAGGGTCCAGCTTTTCCTTGAAAATGTTCACTGATCAGGTTCATACCACTTGTTCGGGTAAGGCGTTCCAGTCGCTGACTACTCGATGAGAGAAACGGAACCCCACTGCAAGTTTATTAGATAGTGGTTTTTGAACCTTCTTGATAAGGCCTCGAAGATTATTAGTGATGGAGGGAACAAAAAGATACGATATGATAATAACCAAATCGTAATTGAAAATGCTGAATGCCAAAATAAGGTCACCTTGTTTTCTACAATACAATAAGGGGAAAAGGTTTAGGCGTTTCAGGTAGTCATCGTAAGGTAACTTAGAAAGATCTTTTACTATTTTGTTTTCACGCTCTGAACACGCTCAAGTGAATAAGTATCCATAATAAAACATGGGCCAGCTGCCTGGATGCAGTACTGTATATGTGGTCTTACGTCAGTGGTCTACAAAACTCGGAACATTTCCTCGTCAAAGCGTTCGAATGCTCAACGAAGAAAACATGGCTCACAAAACCCCTTGGCAGCTTCTGCGTTGCAATGCATAGCTGCTTCCAAGTTATATCTTACTATTACCTGCAAGTTTTCCTGTTTCTGCACTCATGGAAGGGATGTACCGCCGATAGTATACTGGTGATTGTTACTGTGTCCTATGTATATGTTATATCCGAGTGGAGATTAAATTACAGGTAACTTCCGAGGACTATTCGTGGACTAATATTCTTATTGTGTAACTACTCAACAATTACACTATGTATATTTATATTCCTTTTATGATAAGCTTTATTTTGATCTATAATTCATTATTGTACGATTTACGGTTCTTAAGTTATGTTTAGTTTATTAACTACTGCCTCCCTCATTCACAGCCACTTTTTGGGCTTATTTGTGTACAAATATTATTTCCTATTTTATGGTACGTTGCGGTCTGTGTGATTGATATATAAACCAAGTATGCCTGAAATAAACGATCTGCTCTGATTCGAAGCTGGTATCTTGTTCTGGACTCAAGTGGAAGGGCTCGTAGGACATAGGACCAATAAGGACGCTAAACTGCCCACACCGGTTGAACGTCATTGGTTGGCCTAGTGTGAAGATTCGTATAAGTCGTATCCGGATTGGTAGATAAGTCGTGTGATCGAAAAGTCAGACATCCAAGGTCATAACAGTATATGATTCGTCTAGGTCAGCTTGTATATCAAAATGATCAGCCTCATTTTTCTTTGCTATCATGTTTCCTGTCTCGCGATTTATAACTATCATTTCTAATACAGATGTAACCCACAAAGATGAGTGGATAGTCCATATCTACGATAAGCTACGTTTCTGTGACAACGAATAGATCGGGAGTTAATTCATCCACCATCAAACTTCGCTCGGATGTTTTGTTTCTGAGACTACGAGCGATTGTTTCGCACACATCTAAAGTGTTTTGAGAATCACTAGTTCCACAAATACATAGGAATCCAATGTTTCCGAGACATGACTGCTCGAAAACTCTGGATCTTAATTATTGTTCCACCATTTAACCTTCAAGCTCTTAATCTGTAAGAACACTTCCATTTGATTCGATCCTCAAGCGGTCAGTCTAGTCAAATACAAATACTGGAATTACGAGTTTTGTATATGTTAGTCAGTGAGACGTCTCTTTCTTCATAACTCCCGAGCATTAACTTCAATATCCTTCTTGGTTGCGCCTCACCTCCAACGCACCTACCAGGCCATATTACTTTCGCAATATGCACCCCCGAAATCTATTCTGATAGTACATTTCTGATGGGAGTTTCAAATAAGTCCAAATCCCACGTATGCCTTTTACTGGGGTCATTATTTTTTTACTTCTTCAAATTCCAAATCATTAAACTAGGGATTGGTTTGACTTCTCTGAGACTTATGTTCATCGCGTCCGATCGTGATACCATATTCTCCTCGTCAATCACTGGGAGCTTATCTCTGGTTGTTCTTGGAACGGAGTCGTGTGAGTTCAGCAAACTACCCACGACGATATTCAGTGGGACCAAAGGTTTTCTAAATACGTAAGGGTAAAATTTTGTCTTACCTTCGAACTTCGGCGGAACAATCAGCAAAGCAGAGTGTGAACCCGGCA